CAGCCAAAAGGAAGATAAACTTCTCCTTTGTCAAAATTACAGTGAATTACACTTTACATGCAGAGAAAAGGTCATTGGAAAGAAAGTGATATCCAGTTTTCTTCCAAGCCTGTTGCCTACACACCTCCACCTTCACTAAATGCTACACTGAATGCAGTAAGCAGTGGGACGTGTTAGCTGGCAAAGACATGAGAATACATGCAGAGTGCTAGTTAGCACAGTTCAGCCAACACTCGTGGGAATGTGAGCACTGAAACATTATAAAATCCTGCCTCTCATCTCTCTCTGGAACATGGCAAGCCGTAGGCATTCAGCAAATCATCAAGAGAAGGATGGGGTGTCCATAATCTGTTTTTAACTGAAATTGATTAAGATGTTGTTTGTCATGGTCTTTTGATGAAATGGATTTTTAGGAGTGTGCAGCAGAGGATCCTCAGTATTGAACAGCAGTCTACTGCGTGAAGTCAGCTAAAAAGAAACAATGGTATTCTGAAATTAGATAGAAACAGGTAGATACTCCCTACATCATAATTACCAGTGAACATTGTAAGTACTAGACAACAGTGGGGTTAATATACTGAAATATCTTCCAAATATCAGCATTCCCCAAAGGATTTTTAAAAGAAATATTACCGATTTTTAATTAGTTATTCTATCAGTTTAATAAGAATTACATGGAGCCAGTATTTCTGTCCTCTTTTCAAGTCTTTGTCTGAAAACGAAACAAAATGAAACAGAACAAAACATCCACAACTTTGCTTTTTGAAAACTGTTTCCTGAGCAAGTGGATTCAGGAAGGGATGTTTAATTTCTGTCAGTAGATATGAAGCAGTATTTTAGTGAATTATTCCTGCAAGGGTAATTATATCAACCCATTTGAAAACTTAAATATGATACGACCATGGCTTGTGACTACAGGGCCCACCAGGTTCGTTTGACTTCCTATTGCTGATGATGGCAGACATCAGAAATGACATCGCAGAGCTGCAGGAGCGAGTGTTTGGACGGAGGACTCATTCATCAACAGAGGAGTTTCCATTACCTCAGGAATTTACAAACTATCATGACACAGTAGATTTTGGATCTGGAGAAGACTACAAACCACGGGCAGCACCCAGAGACTCCAGGATACAGAAGGCAGCCCATCCTTAGCTATGCCTACTGAAAAATAGAGCCCCTCTAGAGATCTTTGTCATAAAAATGCACTGACGATGTAAAATACATATAGGTTATTTCCCATCTTTCTCTTTGCTTTTCCCTAACCATACTGCCTGTACTGTAGCTTTCCCAGTTCATGATGGCCTCCTTGCAGTAATTCTATACCTTCAAGCCTGCACTGTGCATTGTATGTAGTTTATCAGGAAAACCTTCTTAATGTATAGGGCTAGCGTGAATCAGGCAAGAGCTAGCTAATGGGGCAGACAACAGCATCTCATCTGCCTACCTGTGGTTCTGTGTCCAAATGACCCTGTACCTAAATTTTGCGAGGGGAAGAGAGGTGAGAGAGGTAGCTGAACATCATCCCCGAAAGATATCAGTCATGAAAGCTTAGGTTCACATTTATTTATACATGCAAATGAATTATCCTACTGAACACAAGTCTCCAGCTAGTGTCCCCAAGCTTAGGAGAGTGTGAAAAGTGGATCTCTGTTTCACAGCAGAGGCCAGGAGTCACCTTCTATTATGCTTCCCCATGACAGAAAAAGAAATTAAGATGAAGCAGTGATGCTCGTTGATCAAGAAATTATGTGGCTTGCAGTTAATAGAGAATTGTACAGAGACAGTCAAGAAGACATCTTTGTCCTAAACTAACAATACTTTTCCCTTATCGTTCTTTCACTGCTCAGTGTGAAACCCAGTTCTCTTTCTCAGCAGATTCATATTGGATACATTTTCACACAGATGAGCAAAAGAACAGGGAAAAAGCAGGAAAAGCAAGCATATGTCAATCAAGTTGGCTTATTGGCAAGTACAAATATCTCAACCTTGCAGAAAGTCGAGGTTCTGACTTCCTGCAGGTGCTTGTCTTCCTTGGTGAAATGCTAACTCAATTTTACTTGATCCAAGTAAAACTGAGACCAGAGAGAGGCCTCGTTTGCAAAGAGCTTCCATCTGTTTTGTTCCTCTGCTGCATGAGAGCAACCTAAATGGCATTCACAGAACTGGAACACAAGAGTTGCAATGTATTTGGCTGGGTATATGAGGAGTATGGTTAGGTGCAGGAGTGCACATGACAAAACATTTCACATGGTACAAGTATAGTTAAGGTCAGGTGCTGCACATGGGATCCTGTATTTGTGAAGAGGGATGAAAGGGAGTGCCCTTTTTTTACACTGGAAAATGGGATGCACAAATTAGATCATACCTCATCGATGATGTATGTTAACTTTTTAATGGGGATTTTCTCAGCTGCTGAGGACTTTACCATGCTTAGAAGATAAAGGAGTATATTAAGCACCAAACTTCAATCTTGTATCTGTGTAGCTGCTACTTCCACAAGATGTTTAGTGCTGGGTCCTGTCCACATCACAAATGCAAAGAAGAATTTATTTTGCCATGTTTTCCATGGCTTGCAAGTTCTAGTAGAATAAATACTGCTAAAAACATACGGAGGTCCTTTTCAGATAATCTGTAAAGTTTTGGATCCCCTTCCATATTCTCTAGGCCAAAAGATAGTTGGTGTAATCCCTACCACCAGAACAGGTCATGTTATATAAACAGCTGGCTGTCTAGACCTTCCGTATCTTTTGTATATTATCTTAAGAGGATTTTCTTCATTCCTGTAATTGTTTCACAACTTTTCACTATCAGTATGCCACAAGCAAGAGCATTAGGTTTAAGAACATTAATGTTCTTAATTCCTCTTCACACTATACGCATATCAGTATTTACACAGCAATGACTAAGCCACCAGTATAGCTAAGGAAAAATGAGTGCTCTCACTCTCCGGTCTTTGGGCTTCTCCTCTGAAAGGACCCCACCCAGCAGCTGGAGATCCAAGAAATCTTATGAAGGAGGTAATGGGGATATCAGTGAGACTTGAGGAAGGAACTTCTGGCCAAAGGAAGGGTGTTCTTACATACAGCAGACTGAAAGAAACTTCTAAGGCAGCATTAGTTGAGGCATGTATGTATTATTTTCTAAATTTCAAAGAGGCAACTGGGTACAAATTATGTAGTTCATGAATATGCAATAAGTACAATTGTTAAATGTCCAATTATGTATTTGTAACTGTTGCAAATTATCTAACTCTTGCATATGTTCACCACTACAACCCATGACCTGCTGGACCAGGTTGAGTTCCACTACAGAATTAGGTTCTGTTTGAACCACCAGATATTGAACAATGAATTAAATGAGTCACTTCCTCCATACTGACTAAATTCTATTGCCCACTGCACACAAGAAGGTGTGTTCTAAAAAAAAAAAAAAAAAAAAAAAAAAAAAAAAGGCTCTTATTTGAGTTCTCAGCTCTGCTTTTCTGAATATAGACAAATACCAGTTCTACGGTCTGACAACTGAATTCAGGGGAATGCAGTAGTTGCTCTGCCTTGCATAAGTATTCAGGGAAGAGAAATTCTGATACTGCACCAGAAAAGTAGGTAAAATACATGCCTTGTTGTAAGTGCAGAAAGCTGTCCCACGTTCTTGAGGGCATGAAATAGGGCACATTTTTACATGCCCTTCTGAATGCCTTTCTCAATAACTTCTTTCTATAGTCAGCACCACGTTGTTTGTTTTTTTTTTTCACAGTCCAGAGCTGTTTCTTTCCAGCATACATGCTTCCTCCATAAAAATGGTGAAGGAAAGAGCAACTTGGGTTTGTCCTTGTGCCTCACCTCCTTTCCACAGACTCCTTGCCCCAAAGTGCTGTTGGCTGAGTCCCAGCAGCAAGGAGAAGATGCTGTGGTAAGGACACGTTCACTCCACAGGAGAGAGGAATGCCTCTAGCAGGGAGAGTTCCTCTGAGTAAAGCTGGCTGGGAAGGATCGGCCTTGTGTCTGAGAACCTCTGTGTACACCTTTATCATTTTATTTCTCATTAATTGTATGATAGCTTTCATAACACATTGTATCAGAACCATTTCACTACAGTTTCTAGATGCAGAAGCTCACAAAAATGAAGCTTTCTTAAGCGCACCCAAACTTCTATAAGCACAGATCAGAAGAGTCATCTCCAGTTTTAAGCAGTTACCAGAGAGAGAGAAGAAAGTTATTAGCTTATAAATTATTTATTTCTCTATAGCTCCAAAAGTAATAACCCAAGAAGAATGCAGTAACATCTGTAATCATGTCCAGTTTCGTTACTAGGCTCACGCACATGACAACTTTGTTTCGTATAAATACTATGTATAGTTTTATTAGAAAGAAATATTATTTTGATGTTAAGACATCGAGTTATAAGCAGAAGGATAATAAAGAGTTTGTTATTTTATTAATATTGGAAATATATTTAACGGAAACATTTGCAAGAGTGTGTAGTGATGGGGAAATACTGCTTGTTAAAAGGCTTAACAAAAACATAAACCTTCCAGGGACATATGGGATTAGTCTTCCTTGCAAAACTAGAATACTGACACATAACAATTCTTGCACGGACAGGTTAAACCAGGAAAAGGAGAGGAAAATTGATTGTGAACAGAATTATGACAATCCCTGGAGTTATTTTTGGTCCCGGTTTGAATAACACTTTTCCCATAAGTATTTCAGAGCTAACATGTTAAGCCCCAAAGAAGCAACAAAAGATGGGGTCCAAGAATTTGTTAATTTCACTTAAGATCGACACGTTTGTTCCTATTATGCATTCCAGTAACTATACTGTTCACTTTATTTATATGCAAAATACTAAAATGTGTATAAAATGATCGTGACTTTATGATGTATTCGTAATAACAAAGATATTTTTTCTTACACTGTTGGCAGTTGCTTTTGTTCCATGTAGTTTTGCTTGCACTTGCAGCAGTGACTGGGAGAAACGAGGAGGACGCCTCCTGACGCTGCCTTTCACACCCTGCTGGGAGCTGGGCGATGCGCACAGCCACGGGCGCAGCTCTGGGGGTACGGCGTCCCGTGCTCTGGCAATGAGGCACGTACCCACCTCGGTACGGCTACGGCCTGGCGAGCGCTGCCCCCGGTGCTCTTACCCGCGCTGTCGGCACACGCAGCTAACAGCTACAGAATCATTCAGACCTCTCAGAGCTCCTCATCCAACCCGCCCCGCCTCGCCCACTGCCCGCTCCCTCAGTGCCACATCCCCGCGGTTGCTGAGCAGCTCTGGGGACGCTGACTCCCCCACCTCCCAGCCGCACCGCATCGCCACCGGCGTGCCGCGCTCCACGCTGAGACTACAGCTCCCGGCATGCAACGCGCCCGCGTGAGATGGCTGCGTCGCGCTGTCGCGTCTGTGACGTCACTGACGCGCGACGAGCCCCCTTCCGGTTAGCGCGGCGGCGGCGGCGGGATGCGGCTGTCGCTGGTAGCCGCGATCTCGCACGGGCGCGTGTACCGGCGGCTGGGGCACGGCCCGCGCTCGCGCCTCGACCTGCTGCGCAACCTGGTGACGGCGCTGGTGCGGCATGAGCGCATCGAGGCTCCGTGGGCGCGCGCCGACGAGATGCGAGGCTACGCGGAGCGGGTGAGCGGCGGGGCCGGGCCGCGGTGGGCGGGAGCGCCGGCTGAGGGGCGCTGACGGCCGTGCCCCGCTTCTTCCCCGCAGCTCATCGACTACGCCAAGCGCGGGGACACGGACGAGCGCGCCATGCGCATGGCGGATTTCTGGCTGACGGTAGGTAGCGCCCGGCCCCTCGCCGCCCCCGTCCCGCGGGCCCGGGGCTGAGCGTGCCGTCCCGCAGGAGAAGGACCTCGTCCACAAGCTGTTCAAAGTGCTGGCGCCCCGCTTCCAGCCGCACCCCGGCAGCTACACCCGCATGCTGCACATCCCCAGCCGGGACAGCCTGGACCGCGCCAAGATGGCTGTGATCGAGCTGAAGGGGAACCCCTTCCCACCGCTCATCCGCCCGCGTCGTGACAGCGAGAAGACGCTGCTCAACCAGCTGCTGAAGGGCTGCCGGGAGGACGCCCAGCGGGCTGCAGGCCCCTGAGGGCACCGTGCAGGCATCCTGCTCTGCCCCCAGCATGTCCCACGTGGGCAGCAGGATGGGGCCTGGGGTGAGCTGCCTGTGCATTGGGCAGGGAGCTCGCATCCCGGGACAGGACACCTGCTGCTCTCCTGGAGCACAGGGGTGGAAGGTGTTTAGGGAGGGCTCAGGATTTATTCCTAGCCTTAAATGATCATAACAGGGGCAGAAGCTCAAGGTTTACCTTCACTTTCCTGTGATTTAGTAGCAACTTCACAAGAGAAGGAAATCAAGCTGTGAGCCCTAGTGGTTGATATCCTCTGTGTAAATAAACTACTTTGAAAAGTGAGTTCGTTTCTGTTTGGATTATGTTATTGTGTGCAGGAGTTAATCATTTATTCCAGGCAATTTCTGATCCTGCAGCCCTGTACTCTGGGATAATGTCTCCACATAACTTTATATTCTTTAGAAGCCACTGTGCAGACTTTCAGCGCTGGAAATTCAGAAAAGAATCGAGTTAGCTTCACTGTTCCAGCAGTGCTGACTGTAAACGAGGACAGTAGCACTGAAATTCATAAAAGCAGCAGTACTACAGCAAATTGTATTACTAGAAGGCAACGTGGGCAGGACTAAGCTGTCATTACTGAACTTGGTAGACAGCCTCAGGTGCAGGGTTGTAGGAAACCTCATTATTGTGCTCTTACAGCAAAGGGATAGAGGCAGAACTTTTACAGGCAATAATGTAACAACTTGGAAATACCAAACTTGGAATTGCTAGCTTTGCCCTTAATTTGTTCAGTCCTAGCTGTAGCTTCTAGTTGGGGAAAAGAAATAGACACATTGTGTTCCTTTCTCCCTCTCAGACTACCCAGTAATCTTAGGTAGTGGAATGTTAGCTGAAATGTGTTAACTCACATGAAAGAGCTTACAATTCAGTCATGCTTTCTTCAGAACTCTCCCACAGACCCACTTCTACTTTAATGAAATCCAATGAGAAATTTAAAAAGTATAAGATATCGTGGAAGGAAAGGAAAAGTGAATGTTACAGAGACTTTAATCTGTTTGAAGGGGGGATTAGGTTAGGTCATCACCCGCAGGGTGTGCAGTTCTAAGGTCATTAGAAATAAGAAATTGCATGCCTTGCACTAGATGACCTAACATATCATCTAGTGCAATCTATAGGTATTTTCTCTGTAACAGAAGAAATGAACCAACTGTCGTTGCTGCATAGCTTCCCCATATTAAAAATTAATGTTGAGGCTTTAATTCAAAATAATAGCCTACTGCAGCCTTAAATTGGTCTTTTGCCTTAGCAAACTGAACTGTAGCACATCTGCAATCTAATGCCCCAGAATGTACTGCCCAGTTTTTTCACTGCTGTTTCAACTGTATCATTTCTTAGGACTCAGATCAGAAATGTGAACCATGTTTCATAAGTAAGTGTGACTGTTGCCTATCAGTTCATCTCAGTTAGCTCAGCAGATTAATTTTTGTGTGGTATTTGATGAGAGGTAGGAGTCTAAACATGGCATTGTTTTATCTGTCTCTTAGAGAAGGAAGGGTAAACTATTCAAAACATTTTGGTAAAAAACAGAAGGGTACAAATGATGGAAAATAAATATGTCAGGGGAAGAAGACTGTGGCCCTTTGGCACTAGCTGAAAAGACTGTGTTATGTCTACATTACTGGTAGCCAAAACATCCATTTTATTTGAAGAATTTATAAGCCAAAAGTAAGATAAGGTAGACACTCAAATGTGCCAGTGATGATTTGGGTAAAAAATATTTAATGATTGCAAGCAAGTGAAGGTTTCTTCTAGTGGTACTTCGACTTAATAATCTCAAGAGAAAAAGGGTAGAAAAGCTAGAAGGTACTAAGGTTAGTTGGGGGAAAGTCTTCTTAATGTACAAATTGATTGTGCATACCCATTTTTTGCCACGGGTGTTTAAGAGAGCTGACAACACATTCCAAATCTCACAAGTTCATTGTTCCTCTAAACACAGCTCTCCTACTGTACGTCCCTGAATGTTTCCTGAATTTATGTTGGCTTCTATTCAAGAGAGCAGCCATCCTCTAGGTTGTCTTGTATCAGATGGGTCAGGCTTTCAGCTGCCTGTAGAGGAAAATGAAGGGAAAGTTTACTGTTAATTTAAGTCTGTTCTTTTTACTCTCTTGCGTTCTGGCTGTCAGTCAGATCTTCTCTATCAGTCTTACAGTCATATAATAGATTCAAATATACATGTCCATATGACTGTCAATATAATTCTTCTGTCCCTGTCCCTCTGGAAGATAAAGGCCTACCTGACTGCAGTTCTGAGACTCTGGTGCCAATCATTAATATCTTGCTGGTCAGTGGACATCAACAATAGTGTCTTGTGTGGGAAGGAAAGCTGAAAGACAAATGGAAGAGACTCAGTCCCGCATGTTGATTTCTGCCATTTTTTTTTTTTTTCACAGATATTAGAAACGTTTTGCATTGGCACACAGGCTGGAAAGAACACAGCACAGCTAGACTTCTAGCTACAGATGTCAGCTTGCTTTGATTTAGCAGTGTTTGGAAGTCAGCAGTGCCAATCTGTATCTACTGGTCTTTCAGTTTTCTCTATTATTTCAAGCTGCCTCTAGAGGTCCTTCCAGTACCATTAACTACAAACACACGATTTAACAAAGAATTCATTTTTATAGCTTACACTCAAACAATGAGTCAACAAAGCCTCCCAGGTGCTGCAGTCTAGAAAAGCCCGAATTTAAAACCCTCACCTAAGGCATTACTCCCAGTCAGAGCCCCCTGCAGTTCTCAAAGAGTTATAGGCAAAGCAATACCCATTCCACCCTATTTCTGCATTCTCTATTTTTCAGGCTTCTCTCTGAACTAATTCCACAGTCACTGTAATGCTGCATATTGCTTGTCATGAGGCTGTGGGGCGCATGACACAAGCATATGCTCAGTTGAGGTCACGTCAGAGTGTGATCAGACTCTCCTCAGCTGACCTATGTGGAACAAGCAGGGCTTGATGAAGGGGAAAAGACAGCCTGCCCAAAAGAGAAGAGCTGCCCTAACCCAGACCAGTTCTTTGCATTTACCGTTGTCCCCACTTACACCTCAGCCATGCTGCTGCTGAGGCAGTTAGAGACTTGATTTGCAATCTGACCCACTGATACTTCTGCCGGGCAGAGGCAGGAAGACTTACACTGAGGAGCCCTCCCTCACTCTGAGTGTGGCCAAATACTTTATCCACGACACACTGGTGAAGGGGATAGACAGCTGTGCAGGCAAATTTATTGGAGTTCAGCAGATGCAGTGGGTGGCAGGGCTTTGTTGAAATAAAGATATCAGAAAAAAGGAAGAACATCCTGCGCTTCAATTCTTCGCCCTTCGAGGGCACAACCAAAAGCCAGCCTTCACGGATATACCAGCGCCCTAGCATTCAAGAAAAAAATAAAGACAGTTGTCAGACAATCATTGGCACAAGAAAGGATTTACCATTACAAAAAAGAATACCGTGAGCTACTCTCGTAAATTACCAGGCTCTGTACCTATCCCAGCCACTAGAAGGCACTAGTGCGTCAACATGTCTTAATTCAGATTCCACGAGCTGTCTTAAACTGGGTTACTCAATTGTTTGTCATTAACAACAAAACAGAAGTCAGCCTGAAGTTTGAATATTTATTATATTTCTCCTGGGGTTTTTTTCTGCTTATGTGTGCTGATAAAAAATATTTCACAGGTCATCTAAATAAATACAAACCTCTACTAGTTAACAAATTACAGAATGGAGATTGCTGCTGTAATGAAAGACAGCAAAGGGAGACAAAAATGAGATGCTAAAAAGGGCTTCAGTAGGCAACTTTATTAGACTATAGATAGGGTCACAAAATGAACAGCAATAATAAAGTAGAGAAATCAGCAGGAAAAAAAATAATTGAAAGACTTAGCTATAGGCAATAATTAAAAAAAAAAAAAGCACATACACAAAATGGAATAATTAAAGCTCTGCTTCTAAACAGCATTATTGTAGACAATAGCCATTAACTCTTAGTGAAAACACGTGCCAGAAAGAAGATTATTTATAACAATCCAAAGCCTTAATATGATACCACCACCTGTCTTGGTCTGGGAAACAGCTGCCAGAGAATTTCAGCCACTGTTTTTTGTGCTATTGCTGTGCAAGCTGTGCTTGCATTCTTTTAGAGAACAGCACTGTGTCAAGTATGGATGGTGTGTCTTAGCATACTACACTTAGAAAATAGAGACAAGTGAACTGCTGCTTAGCTCAGTCTACAGAAATGGTGTCTCCTATCAGAACAGGAAACTGAAGAACAGAATGGAAAGGTGCAGGCATCAGTTCAAGTTTAAAAAACAAATGGAAAGAAGGTGTTGGTGTGGGGCTGGGCATCATTTCCCTCATGCTATGCTGTGATCAGGTTCAATAACATATAGACTGAGCTGGACTGTGTGGGAATGAATAGTGATGCATTTTCAGTATTCCATGTTGGCATGTGGAAATTCTTGTGAAGTCTAGGGAAACTCCCCTACGGAAGCTAGAGATGACAAGAACAGCATTTTATGTCAAGGAGACAGTTCTAGCTGAGATGGTGTTTGCTCTACATATGAAAAGCAGCAAGAAAAGCAGGGTCTCGTTGCATTGTGAGCAATATTGGTATTGTCAGAGACAACACCAGTATGAGAAACTTAACTCCAAAACCACTTTTCCTTGAATCTACAAACATTACATTTTCTGACCTCTTTCTCCCTACTAATAGGATGCAATCCTTAGAAATCTGTGAAGCTAGCTAGTTGCTGGACAAACAATGTTGTCGAGTTTGCAAAGAACCAGTAATACTCTGCAGCTGCTGACTTTTTTGTTTATCACATCTAACAAGACCTATTTTACTGCTGCTAATGGAAAGCATTATAATCATAATTCTCTGTCCAAGTCAACGGAAAGTTATCTCTAGACTCGCAAAATTTGTCCTAATACAGATCTCAAAATATGAGGAACAAAAAAAAAAAAAAGAAAAAAAAAAAAAAAGTGGGCCTTGGCTTTCAAATGATAGCCACTTCTGGTCCAGCTACTCTAGTTTTTTTGCTTTCCTTTTTTTTTTTTTTGCCTTCCACTTACAGTCATCTTATTAACTCTGTTACTTAAGATAGCTTTTTTTGCCTTTTTTCACATGCACTATCCCAATGAGTCCAAGCACCTCCACCTATGCTCAAATGTTTAGTAACACAGCATACCTGCACTAGCTCCATTTCAGCCACCATCACCAAAAGGATTGTGAGTAGAATAGGAAAGAGAAATGTAAATTGATCTGCATATTGACTGCACATACTGGAGAATAACTTGTGATTAGCAAATTATTTTTTCTACTTTCACCCCATAACCCCTACGTACAAAGAAAAAAAAAGTACCATCACAGTTACAGATGTGTGGGGGTGCATCTTAGAGACCTTTAACTTTCCAACTGCTGCAGTGTTTCTAGATGACCTCTGCAACAGCAAATTTTAGTGAAGGTGTGTAGGTATGGATGAAGCCCCCAGTGGTCAGCTCATATTTGTCCAAACTGGACATATTTCTCACAATGTTCCATGTGTACCTTGGAGCATGTTCTGGGCATGGAGAGCCACTGGCCAAACAACAGATCCCAAAAAATCTTGTCATCCAACTAGATGATCTTACATGCCAGTGACTGTGATTTTATATATCTCAGCTACCAGTACAAATACTCTGATTTCTGACAGAATTTAACCTTGCAGCTAAAAGATGTTTTCATGTATAACGTGTGAGCAGAAGCTTATGAATTTTTCCTCCAAAATAATTCAGTTTCTTTCTCTCGTTGCCACCCAGGACTTATATTCCAGACCTCCTTGGGTTTCTGTGAACTAAGTTTCTGAATGCATGTCACCAGCTCCTTTTATCTGAATGTCAGACATCTAATATGCTGCTTATCTTTACTTAAAAATTAAAAAGGTGCCTAAATTTCTAATTACATTATTTTACTACCTATGAAATTCAGGTCAGAAAGGGAAATCTGACTGACATGAGTAGGGTCAGAGATGAAGGCAAGCCTACTCCCAGTTGTCTCAGCTTGGCAGAAGGAAAACAGAGCCATCTGTAGGACCTACCTGGAGTCAACACCTGGATCTTCTGTCCTTTGAGGAGTTTCTGAACCCTGTGCAGCTGCAGTGAGTTCTCTCTCTTACGAACAATGTCCTGAACCCACTGAGATACCTCAGAAACAGATTTCACAGCCCCTGAAATTATAGCAGCATATTTTCAGGTTATCACAAATGAGTATGTATACTATCTTGCTGTGAAAACATAAGGTGAAATTAGGAAGCAAATGTTTTAAACCAAGTATCAATAACAAATTTATTCCCTAATTTCAGAAAGAGATTACACTAGAAGCCATCAGAAGACTCCTTCCAGACAACATTTTTGTGATTCTGGAAAATATTTATTTGCCAGTGAAATACTATGCAAATGGATTTAGAAGCAAGAACAAGAAACAAATGCCCCACTGTAGATGACGCTGGCTGCAGGAAGATGTGACATTAATTATCCTAGAAAACTGAGGTATGTGACAAATAGAACAGATATTTTTCCAATTTAACCCCTACACCAGTTTCCCAGTAGGACAGTCTACATTGCAATTCCCTATTCTTTCTCAGGAAGAGTTGTCAATCAAAATGGTGATGGAAAACAGTAATACACGGGAAACCCAAACAAGATTTTTCTTCTTGGGGAAACAGACAAAAAACTGGACTGAAAATGTTAGCAAGGAAGCTAACACTGATAAAAATGCTAGTATTTATTGGGGAAATCAAAGCAGCAGTGTTTACAGATGGTATCATACTTGCAAGTTCCTGGTACTCAGCACTGCCTGGGTTGGTGTTCTCCAGCAGGTCTCTGAGGAAATGCTTGTACCTAAGATAGAAGAAGTTTTATTGCACAGTACCAGGAACAGAAATATCACCTTTATTATCAAAATCATTAACAGTGTGCCATCAGCACACAGAGTACACACCTCTAAATCTAGCCATGCAGCTTTGGGTCATATTTCATTGTTCACACTCATTTTATCTTCAGATGTATCAGTTATATTACCCTACATTTTTTATACATTTCCAAGCCTCTGGAACTTCCTGGGGAGCTGGTAAGAACAACTTCACTTACTATTTCATCAGGAACTGAGACAACTTCAAGATTCATAAGAATGCCTTCAATTACAGACATTTCGCTTTGAACAACTGTTTTTTTGTTTCTTTTTTATTTATGAATGGAAGCATTGATGCCATATGTTCCCTGTCTACAACGAAAATAAAGGTATTCCTGTCCAGTCTTAGCTAAAAAGAATCAAATCTCCGCAACTAGCTTCTCCCAATAAAATCAAATTATTTTCAGTCTGAAATGACAGAACAAATACAATATTGAACAGATTCATGAAATGGTAGAAGTCATCTCACCTGCAGTATATGTAACTGAAAAGTGAATATGAAAGAGCTGATTAATGAAAAAGATAGTCCTTCTGTTAAAAAGGCATAATTTCTCCAAGAAATATACTGTTGTCTTACAAATTCAAAGGAATGACCCAAAGAATTACAGTAAAAAAGAATGCTTACATTTACTAAGTAGATTAAAAAAGTTGTATAACGCTACCTCAAAGACTGTGGTATGCTTAACCCTTTATTTTCAAATGAACAAGGCTCTGATCTCTTAAATGTACTGTAGTAAGGATAAGGCCATGGCTAAAGAGCAGTTACTTGTCCTACAGCAGTTGCGGCCAGGATCCCAGAGCCTCACCTAGGTTCTGTATTACCCTCACACCCTTCTCCAAAACAGGCAGCCACTGAGTGCATGCAGCACTCTCCTCATGCAGTCAGCCTGCCCCTTCAAAGGATGCCTCAAGGAGAGGGCAGCAATCCAGATGGGATCTGTCTGTCTCAGACAACTGTGGCAGGCACCAAAAGAAAAGCAAATACAAAGAAAATATGGTCCTGATAACCAGAGAGAGGAGGAAAGCACCCCTGACTTCATCTCATCTCTCTCCAAGAACAACCATTTACAAGAAGGGAGTCATGCTCCAGATCAGCAACCTGCACAAAAGCAGAGCACAGCAATCTCTAGCTAGGAGCAGCACTTCTGTGGTGTTTCAGACAGCTTGCTTTTGTTGAGGGCCTAACTTCAGCCACCAAGATGACTCTGATTCTACCTGAGAGCTAAATAAAGGTCTTAGGAGCCAGGACTAAACAAAGCAATCTCTCTACTTAAGTCACCATCCAGATACACTGATTCTGTTTACAGGTACATCTTGAAGACCATTTCACTGCAGTCTACATGCTCCAATTTGGAGACATATAATATTACTATTAGCAAGACAGTATATGTGTATGTTTACTTTCTCATACTAACACCTTGAGGACTCAGAACTTCTTACTTACTGGTGCAACCTCTGCAGAGGCAAAGGAAGCAAATCCTCTAGCTTCCTCCCTTGAAACTGAGGTCGAGTTTCTTGGAGCTTCTTAAAACGTTGGAATGATTTATTTTTCCTCAATTGTTCCTGCATGCAGCAGAGAAGGTACATTGTTTTGTGACTACAAAAGAAATACGCATGCTAGTTTGCACCAGCACTTAGAAAACAGAACTTCAGAACTAAATGCAAGCATCAGCAGCTTATTTTGTGGCCATGGACAAGCCATTTCCTTTCTTCTGACCACCATCTCCCAGTGAGTAGTTTAAATTATAACCCTTTTTCATACATGCACAGCAGTGCTAAGCTAGCATTCTGGTTCCAGCAGAGACACAGTTAACCTTTTCTTTATAGCATTTGGTATGATGCTGTATTTTGTCTATGTTGATAACACACTGATGTTTAGCTGTTGCTGAGCAGTGCTGCACAGAGCCAAGGACGTTTCAACTTCTTGTACAGTCCTGCCAGCAAAGGGACTGAGAAGGGACAGAACTGGCTGACTTAAGCAGGGCATAGGAATATTCCAATTCCATACCACAAGGAAACATGTAAAAAAAGTATAAAACTGAAGGGTGTTGGCTGTGGGGCAGGACCAGCTGGGCACTGGTAGTGAGCAACTGTGAGCAACTGTGCTCACTACCAGTGCATCCTTTGTTTTGTGTGTGTATAAATATATACATAAACACACACATAAACATAAATACAAAATTTTACTAGCACTCATGGGTTGAGATAAAAACTACAAGTATTTTGAGTTTGTTTCTTTCCTGATTCTCTCCGCCACCACTCTAGGAGGGGAAGAGTGAGCAATGGACAGGTGCTGAGTCTGCTGTGGGGTTAAACCACAAATTAGTATTACCACCTGTGGCTTTTTGCCATTCATTTCAAGACAAAGCAATGCAGCCCCTCATTCCTATCACGTCAAGACAACTACCCAAAATCAAAAGTATGAATATGTGCGAGCAAGCAGAAAAGAACAGAAATCCTAGTACATTCTGCAGCTAGCAATAAACACTGACAAGAACTGGAGGTCAGGTGGTTTAAATTTCCGATACAGCTTTCAGGACTTAGAAATAAAAACACATTTTTCTGAAATATCTCAGAAGACAGACTATATGTGGAAAGGTAAGGAGGAATTTTCCTTTACTGCAGAAAAAAAAAATGGGGAGGAAAAAGGAAATCCCACCACTAGGATACACCTAGTGGCAGTGGAGGAGATTGAGAGACCTGATAATTGGCTGGAAAAAGACCACTGTCCTCTAATGTTTACACTAAACACTCTCCAGGCTTGCAAGCCAAGGAGTGGAAGTGAAAACATTACTCTGTTAGAGAAAGCTCAGTATGTGCATACACACAGACACTAAAACACCTGAAACATACTTAAAAAAAACTGAAGTTCTAAATAAAGAGAACAGTTTTTACCACTCTATTATGACAGAAGGACAGGAAACAGCCCAGAAAAAGGAAGAAAACCAACCATTCAAGAATCAGAAGCAAAAGCAAAATAATGCTTCAAAGAATGGAGAGGTGGGAAAAGACAACAGGAAGAGTAAAGGAGATACATACCATCAAAGTTTTATTTGCCTGTTCGAAATTCTCAGCATAATGACCGTAGAGCTCCAATTTCTGACAGAAATTTTCCAATCCTAGTCCTAAATTGCCTCTCTCCAGGTGAAGCGACAGAACTCTGTGGACAAGGAGGAAAGATAATTAGGCAAGAGTACATTTCTGATACCACTTCCCCAGCTCCTTCTGGTTCACTCCTATGCTTACTTTCATTTGCCAGCCTCCATCTCACATTCAATTTCTACCAGAACGTATGCTGGGTGGTCATAGAACAATCTGCAGAAGATAACCCTTAAAAATACTACAAAGTAGACTTACTGGGTTTAAACTATCCAGAAAACAACCATAGAACAGAAGGGACCTTAAAGATCACCTAGTTCCAGGTGTCTCCCCCACCTCTCTGGACAGCCTGTTCCAGTGCTCCATCACGCTCACAGTAAAGCTTTTTCCCATTAGAGTTTGTTCACTTACTGGCTGGCAGAATATATGGATTCCAGGGGTCCAAATATGGTTTCCATTACAGCAGGTTTCAGTGTCCCTTTGGCCTTTAAAATTGTCACAAAGAACTAAACAGAAAGAATTAAAAATTACAGGTAATTCAAAGATCATTCTTAGCACTGAGCGGGGGCAAGAAGTTGCAGCCTGCAAACTCAAGCTCAGAAGGTATCGTGAGCACCTATGTAAAATATCTATCGTTATACATAAGTATTTTTGGCGACTTTGACCATAGCTGTAAACACGTGACTGAGTCTATTTCAGTATTCCGAGATGCATCTGTTTTTAACCACCTACTTTTTAATCTCTCTCTGTGTCCTCTATGCCCCCATGTTTTATACGTTTCAAGCACCTGAAACCAAGTCCCCTGTACAATCAAAACTTATGGCTGGATATGGACCAAAGCCAAAAGACCAAAAGCACAAGCTATCAGATGCATAACAGGAGGTAAACGACAGAAGAAAAAAAAATAGCTTTCAGGCTCAGCAACATAAAGACTGATTTGTCACATGTTGTATAGATGCACCTAATTCATGTTCTGTGACCTCGTGATGCCAGAAAGAAACATGTGCTTCTTGAGGGTAGCCATGTATCAGAAGGGCCCGAATACACACCGTTACCACCAAATCCAGCTGCTCGAGGTATCTGTGCTCTGTTACCAGCAGCTCCTTGGCTGTGCGGCTGCGCTTTCTCTCCCAGCGAGCCCTCTGCTCTTCCACTGTGTTTGCTCCAGCCATCGGTGGAAGGGGTGAGTAGCTCATGGTAGCCTCAGGGCTGATAAACAGAAAGGGAACCACTTCTGAGAGCCAGGTGAGATGGACACACAACAAATGCACATCACGGGCTGAAGGGTACAATTCTAAGATACAAATTCTACAGTTTCTGTGGAAGACAGGAAGTCGGTTAACAGTAACATTCAATAACAGCTTCCTCAGCTTCCTTCTGCGTTCTTACTTGTGAAGCCTTCCATCAACCAGAGGAAAGGTGACAGTAAGGCCAGACTGAAAGCAAGAGAAGCAGTACATTACATGAATCCGTAAGCAAAACTTAAGCAAGCAATCCCACCTACTTTCCTAGCCCACTACTGTTGCTTCCTGTGCTTTAGGCCATCCTTCATGCAGAATTCTCACTCAAGTCACAGACACAATAAACACAGATGCCTCACCTGCAGGTTGAAGAGGTACAGCATAGAGACATAGAAAACAGGTGAGGAGAGAGATTGTTTTTTCCCCATGGAGGATCTGCTAGAAGTGAGTGTTCTGCATTGCTATTTTCTAGCAGGGGTTTGTCATTTCAGAGGTGAGAGCCTGAGAAACCGACATGAACCATCATGTGCACTTATTAACAGGCTTCACTGCTGCTCTTCTTCAAGAGCATCATGTTTTTCTAATACAGAAAAACACTCTCACCAACCTCTCCCAGAGAAAGAAGCACGTGCCACACAGCATTCGTTACATCAAGCTTTCTTTTGATGAAAAGGAAGAGCGGCTTGTTGCATGCTTGCCATGATGTAAAGTCTGTGGTTTCAGGGGAAGCTTGCCACTCCGTCTTGAGCTACCCATACAAACGTTCTGGTTCACAAACATTCAAGCTATGCTAGCACAGAAATCTATGTTGTTGCAGAGAAAGGCATTTGTCAGTATAAAAACTATTGAACAGTGTTTGTGTAACTAATGACTTCAAGATGCTCTGCTAATCTTTCCAGTGACGCTTCTGAATTCACTAGTTCTAACATCCTCCCAAAAAAAATCTCATTGTTATCTTACTCTTGCTATTCCTCTTGATATCTCGGTATTCCTCTGAAGTCTTAACAGCCTAACAGGATGGTTTCAAGAGCAATAGTCCTTGCACACTGCCCCCGAGAAGGGTAAAACTTTCGAGTGCTTGCACTCCATGCATACTATTCCCTTATGGTCGCATCCTGACCAGATAGAAACCAGGGTCGTGGCAACCCCCACTGCCGGTACGAGCCGGGGGATGTAGGGACAGAGCACAGCCCTGCCGGAAAGGACCTGGGGGTCCAGACAGCCGGCCGGATCCTGGGCTGCATCCTGGGCAGCGCGGCCAGCAGGGCGAGGGAGGGGATCCTGCCCCTCTGCTCTGCGCTGTGACACCTCACCTGGAGCACTGCGTCCACAGCTGGAGTGCTCAGCACAGGAGAGACGGGGGCCTGTTGGAGAGCGTCCGGAGGAGGGCCACACAAATGGTCAGGGATGGAGCAGCTCCCTGCGAGGACGGGCTGAGAGAGCTGGGGCTGTGCAGCCTGGAGAACAGAAGGGTGGGGGACACCTGAGGGTGGCCTGTCTGTATCTAAAGGGGAGCTGTAAGAAAGACGGGGACAGATTCTTCATCAGTATCTGTGGTGGTAGGACAAGGAGAAATGGCTTCAAACTGAAAGAGGGGAGATTTATTGAATATAAGGAAGAAGTTTTTTACAGTCAGGGTGATGAGGCACTGGCACAGGCTGCCCACAGAGGCAGTGGATGCCCCTGGAGACACCCAAGGTTGGAGTGAAGGGGCTCTGAGCACCTGATGGAGCCGTGGGCATCCCTGTTCACTGCAGGGGAGTTGGACCAGGTGACGTTCAAGGGTCTCTTCCAACCCAAATGATTCTGTGATTCTGTGAAACCTGCATGGTTTTCTTTGTTTTTTTTTCAAACTTCCCCAGAGAGTTTGGGGAGTCCTGGAAGACCAACCTGCAATTAGGACTACTTGTAAGGCCACCAATTTGGTGCACACTGCAGAGACTCACTAGATTGCTTGCAATGGGCTCCCTACGCAGCGAGCAGGAGATGATGCACACATCTGTCCCTTGTCAGGCTCCTCCAGACTCCCTTCAGAGCTGCTTCTTATCTGACTGTCTCTCCCCGAGTGCCTATCAAGCCCTATGTTACCAGCTCAGGCTACCCAGGACCTCATCCAACCCGACCTTGAGCATCGCCAGGATGGGGCACCACAGCTCTGGGCAGCAGTGCCATGGCCTGAACCCATCACACACCCAGCAGGTAAGCATCCATCACACACACCTCCGCAGGAGCCCTGCTCCAGCTCCCTGCTTCCTGAAGAGGCCCCAGCGTGTCCGCACGGATTCTCCTTATCATCTTCTTCCTTCTGCCCGCCGCCCCGCACCGTGCCCCGGTTTGCTGCTGCTGCCCCGACCCCCGGGCTGTCCTGGCGCCATGTTGACGCTCCCAGGGCGGCTACGCGCGACCCTCAGCCGGGCAGGGCAATGCAGGGCAGGGCGGGGAGCGTAGCACCGCACTTAACCTAACCTAACCTAACCTAACCGCACCGCACCGCACCGCACCGCACCGCCGCCCCTCGGCGCTCCCCTCCTCCCTGGCACCGCCGCCCGTTACCTGCTCCGGCCCCGCGGCCGCCGCTCCGCGTTCAAACCGAGCTCCGCCCCGACGGGCGGTCCCGGGGCGGGGCTGCGGCGAGCCGGGCCGGGCGGCGAGCCGGGCCGGGAGCGGGCGGCATGGGGCCGTCGGGGAAGCGGCGCGGGGTCGGGGCGGCCGGGGACCTGGCGGCACTGGCGGAGCTGGACGAGGCGTCGCTGCTGGGCGCGCTGCGGGACCGCTTCCTGCGGCAGCAGGTCTACGTGAGTGCGGGCGCGGGGCTCGGCTCCCCCCTCTCCCCTCCCGGCTCTCCCCTCGCCGCTCTCCCCTCACCGCTCTCCCCTCCCTGCCCTCCCCTCCCTGCCTCCAGACCGACGTGGGGGACATCCTCATCGCCGTGAACCCCTTCCAGCCCCTGCAGCTCTACGGGAGAGAGGTGAGTGCCACGCTCGGGCAGCCCGAGCAGCAGCCGGTGCCGCGTCCCCCAGCCCGTCCTCAAAGGCCGTCTCACCCTGCAGGTCTCCGAGCAGTACCGCTGCCATGAGAAGGGCGCGCTGCCTCCGCACATCTTCGCCGTGGCCGACCGTGCTTACCAAGCCATGCTGGGTCGCCGCGGCGCCCAGCCGCAGAGCCAGTGCATTGTCATCAGGTGAGGAGCGGGCACGGCCTCGAGGGCACGGCGTTCTCCCCGTCAGACCTTCACGTATCCACGCTTCTGGTGGGTCCAAACCCAGCTTCGTTGGCTGCACGTCTCTCGCTGCTTTCCAGCCAGATAAGCAGACGGATGGTGAAGAGAGAGTGTTGTGGAAGAGGTTGGGTTTCATGCGGCCACTTGCCAGCCTTTGCTGGTAGTGCAACTGTGTGAAGTCTAAAAGGGTTGCTGCTGTTGGGTTGTAGTGCTGGAAAGGTTAACCTGCTCTGCACATTGCTTTTCTTTGGCAAAATATCTTCCGCTGTAATCTGTGTATTGAATCTTATAAATCATGCAATCATAAAGTGGCTTGTGTTGGAAGGGACCTCGGATATCATCAAGCTGCACCCCTCTGCCACAGGCAGGGCTGTCATCCATTAAATCAAACAGCAGACCAGGCTGCCCAAGGCCCCTTCCAGCATGGCTTTGAGCACCTCCAGGGATGGGTACCACAGCTCTCTCACTGTCATTTCACTGAAAAACTTCCCCCTGACATCTAATCTAAATCCCCATTTCTCCACGTTGTCTTGCTTATTTACCCATGTAAAAAGCTGATTTGTCTCCTGCCTATAATATCCCTTTAAATTTTGGAAGGCTGAAATGAGGTTTCCCCAGAGACTTTTCTTTTCCAGACTGAGCAGGCTCAGCTCTCTCAGCCTGTCTTCATAGGAGAGATGGGGTGCTCCAGGCTGACCTGGATGGGGCCCTGGCACCTGAGCTGATGGGGTCAACCAGCCCACCACAGGGGGAAGGGAACTGGCTGACCCTGAAGTTCACTTTCAACTTAAACCATTCTATGATTCTATCATTTCCCTTTGTAACCAAAGAGGAAAGGGAAGAGAAAGAGCTTCTTTGCTGTAAGAGAACCTAGTCAGGAAAAATCTTAAAATCAAAGCACATCCTGAGCTGCATCCAAAGCAGCGCGGCCAGCAGGGCGAGGGAGGGGATCCTGCCCCTCTGCTCTGCGCTGTGACACCTCACCTGGAGCACTGCGTCCACAGCTGGAGTGCTCAGCACAGGAGAGACGGGGGCCTGTTGGAGAGCGTCCGGAGGAGGGCCACACAAATGGTCAGGGATGGAGCAGCTCCCTGCGAGGACGGGCTGAGAGAGCTGGGGCTGTGCAGCCTGGAGAACAGAAGGCTGGGGGAGGCCTGAGGGCGGCCTGTCTGTATCTAAAGGGGGGCTACAGAAAGGAGGGTGATAAGACAAGGAGAAATGGCTTCAAACTGAAAGAGGGGAGATTTATATTGGGTATAAGGAAGATTTTTACATTCAGGGTGATGAGGCACTGGCACAGGTTGTCCAGAGAGGTGGTGGATGCCCCATCTGTGGAGACACCCAAGGTCAAACGGAGGTGCTCTGAGCACCTGATGGAGCTGTGGGCATCCCTGTTCACTGCAGGGGAGTTGAGCCAGGTGACCTTTAAGGGTCCTATCCAACTGAAACGATTCTGTGTTGTTGTGAGAAGTTCTATAGACTAGGAGAGAAATGAGTTCTTGTATCACAAGACTGTTCCACTATCATGAGCACTTCCCTCTATAATGTCATTACTGTTTCTCGTCTTCAGGGCAGCACCTAGTATCAACTATCAGAGAAAGTCTCTGGCACCATCAACTAGCAAAAAAAGCCTTTAATCACCGGATAACTTTCTCCTCTGGTGATTGTAGAGGCTTTAAATGTCTTTTGTGTTGAAATGTTAATTGCCAGCTGCTTAATTTAGTATTTCCTTCTTTATGTGAGCATTCTGATCAATTTCAAGCTATGTTGTAGGGAAATGACTTACTGAATCATTACTGGGTTTTGCCGTTGGGACTTGGAAAACAGACTTCAGGTTCCGGCCCTGCTCATTTCACCTTGAAGTGCTCTTATGAAGCAGAAGGATGTGGTGGCTGTGGGAAAGGTGCTGCTGGTAGAGTTCATAGGATTTGAGAAAAGTCACAGGATTTTCTAAGGAGGTAGAAGACAAAATGAAAGACCTGTAGGTGTTTCCCAGTAAGGCAGTGGTCTTGTTATTTTCTGAGTGGTTTGTGGTCTCAGAAATGACAGCTCGAGCAACTGTCATGCACCTTGCAATCCTGTTAAGTGTGATGTTGTAACAGGAAGTTCATGGTTTTACTATCTGCAAGTGGTAAAAAATTCAGTAGCAAAATTACCTGGTTTGAGCAAAGCTGTGGGTGTGGAGGTTGATGTCACTCCTGTTACACCAGAGCTTATCAGAACAGTGTAGTGATGCACTATGTTCTACTGTTCCTTGTGCTTGTGTTGCTTCTGCATTGCAGATGCCCACTTCTAGCAAGGTATGAACCCGTGTACTTTTCTCTAGGATACACGTATTGCCTTCCTGCCCTTTCTGTTCTCGTTTTGGTCGCTTCAACTTATTCTGGGAGATCTGGATGACTTATTTCAGAGGTTATAACTGATGTTGAACACAGCAGCTGCCTCCCGGCGACAAAAGTTCATTGCAATCAAGTTTTCTTGAGCTGCAGATTCCACTGGCTGAGATTGGCTGGCATTAGTCACAGCCTCAGTATGCTGTGGAACAGCACGTGGGTCTCCTGGAGATGACTTTGCTTTTTTTCACAGCCTGGGGCAGTTACACACCCACAGCTGGAGAGTGAGCTTGCAGGACTTGGCAGAGCTGTTGCTCTTGTTTAAGAATGTAGGAGTGAGCTTGAACTGGGGGAGTACTGATTGATAGTGCTTCTGTGAAGGAAGGAAGTCTCCAAGAACTGTGTCCAGTTGTGTAGCCCCCAACACAGACGGGACGTGGAGTTGTTGGAGCAGGTCCAGAGGAGGGCCACAAAGATGATCAGTGGGCTGGAGCACTTCCACTATGGGACAGACTGAGAGAGCTGGGGCTGTATGGCCTGGAGAAGAGAGGGCTCCGGGGAGACCTTATAGCAGCCTTCCAGTACCTGAAAGGGCCTTACAAGAAAGCTGGGGAGGGGCTTTTGAAAAGGACATGTAGCAACAGGATAAGGGGAAATGGCTTTAAACTGGAGGAGGGTGGATTTAGACTAGATATTAGGAAGAAATTCTTTATGGTGAGGGTGATGAGACACTGGAACCGGTGCAGAGGTTGTGGATGTCTCCTCCATGGAGGCATTCAAAGCCAGGCAGGATGGGGCTGTGAGCAACCTGGTCCAATAAGAGGTGTCTCTGCCTATTGTAGGGGGTTGGAACTAGGTGATCTTCAAGGTTCCTTCCAACCCAAAGTATTCTATGAAAACCAAAGCTCATCTTATCTGAGTGGCAGGAATGCTGGATAGCATATGGTCTTGTTTTGGTTGCCCATATTCAGGTGACGATGGCTCGATACATGCTTGAGATCAGGTATTCATCTTAGAGCTTGAGGTATTTAGCAGCCTGTGACAGGTGCAAGCACGGAGTTACTGGAAGTTGCGAAGCAGCAAAGCCACACCTGATGCTCAAAGGTCAGATGTGTAAACAGAGACCTGCCCTCGTATATACCTGCATCGTTTCCTGCATTTTTATTTTACTATGCAGTTGCTGAAGTTGTGTGCCAGTGTGATGCTGTTGGTCGATGAGGCAATGTGTCCTTGACTGGGCATTCCCTCTCCCATAGATCGGGAAACTGTGCTTTCTGAGTGCTACTTATTTGACTTGGAGGTGGAGTGCTGAGTCTATGCGATGCCAAAATGACGTGCAGCATTGCTGTTGTAGGTGTGACGGCAGCTCTGCAGCTGTATGCCAGCATTATCAACCAGCTGAAGCATGTGAAGAGCCTGAGATTTGAGATTGCAGTAGTATCACAAGATCAATTGCTCACTTCTGGATGTGAGATGGGGCAAATGTCTGTAGGAACAAGAATCTGTTGAGCCCAGCATATATGAGGGAGTTGGTGAATCAGGTGATTCACCAACATCAGTTGGTGAAGGGGATTGTTAAGTATTATTTTGTTAAGAAGCAGATCAAATGAACTCTTCTATGTGTCCCATCCAGTAATGACAGCATGAAGTATGTCTGTACTTCCTGGTGGATGGGGAAAAATTCCTCTGGGCGGGGATCAGTACATTGTGGAACCCACTGTGTAAAGCTGAAAAAGGTGTGAAACTGCTGGATTGCATCCTCAAGCAATAGGACACTAAGACATGAGGGTCAGAGCAATTGTACTTTATGGCAACTGGAATTTCCTCTCTTTTTCTTTGCAGTGGAGAGAGCGGTGCAGGGAAAACAGAGAGTACGAAGCTACTGCTGCAGCACATAATGAACCTATGCAAAGGCAACTCGCAGCTGGAGCAGCAGATCCTTCAGGTAGGTGCTGGTGGGGTCTTGCTTGTAGATGCAGAAGTAGCATTGTTGTGAGGCAGCTAGCACTAAGCTAAGAGAACCTCCTGGTGAATCATCGCCACTGAGCTGAGGAGCAAAACATTAAGGCACATTTTAGGAAAATAGTGGGAAGGATGATGAAATAGCTGACCACAAGTTAGAAGGGTTGGTAGATTTGCTGGGAGTGTGATGGTTTGGTTCCCAAATGGGACAGAACTACTGTGATTGTTTAGCATGATGTCTGTAACAAGGGAGTAGGGGTTTATTTTCTGAATCATTTCCTGTTTGAGATGGAACAATATTTTTATTAGAGAAATAAAATCTTGATTTAATGAAAGTCAGGGATGGAGAATCTACACAGCCTTCAGTAACCTTTTGTTGGCTAGTTATACTTACTGTCAGGCACATACTTGCTAACTCAGTGACTTCATCTTTACTATTTTCAAAACTTCTGCTAGCTGATTTTTGAAACATGGCTGTTTGGTCTTGACTTGCTCCTAGGGGAGTTTTATTTTGAGCAAATCATATCTTAGCCTTCCAGCTGATAGATTAACTGGAATGAGTTCTTGGACTGCTCCATTTTAAAGTCTGTTTCAGACATCTGTGGTGAAATCAGACCCAAGCTGGCCTGATTGTTCTTTCAGTTTCTTCATAATTCACTGTTCTGATCCTTATGTTGTCTACAGATGCCATTAGGTATTTTATCGTGCTTACATTTAATGAGTATCATGTGTATTTGCTTGTTGTTGGTTAGCAGACCAGTGGTACCAGACCAGATTACTGGGGAAGTCTGTTATACCAACATTATCTTTTAACAAATGAGTTGATAGTCAATCACTTTTTGTGATTATTTTCAGTAATTTCTGCTTAGACTTTGTCATGTTTGCCTCTTGCAGACTTTTTTTTTCTCAGAATATGATAAAATACAAATTTTTGAGTGTTCATGCAGTGTTTCTTGTTCCATCAGAATGTTAAACAGCAAATTGTAAAGCTAACCTTTTCCAAACAAGTTGGATTGGATCGCTTAATCTGAAGAATGCATTTTCTATCTGTATACTTCTTGTAGGTGAACCCATTGCTTGAAGCTTTTGGCAATGCCCAGACTGTGATGAATGACAACAGTAGTCGCTTTGGAAAATACATACAGCTGCGTTTCCAGAATAATACAGGTAAAGTCAATGGCAACTGAGGGAGTGGACTGAGTAGCCGGAACTTAAGGAGGGTAAAATTTTGTTACTTGATTCTTTGTGGAAAGGTGTGTAAAGAAAATGCCGTAGCAGCCACAGCTTTGAGATGAGACCTGGGTTTGAATTATGTGAGAGTATGGGATGAATACTGGGGTGATGATGCAGGGGAGATATCAGCAATGCTCAGTGGTGTCTGATGACTCTGTTGTGATTAAAGGAGGTGAGCAGATGTCTTTGAGAACGTGGGAAACATGGAGGAGCCCCTTTCCAAGGTGTTGGCAGCCTGGAGAAGTTGTATGCAAGACTTGTTTCAGGCAACTCCATGCTTCTGTCAGTAGTGCAGATGTGTGGGGCAGGTCAGTCAGCTTCATGTCTCCATGTGCAAAATAACCTTGTCACCTTCTTGTGTGCAGTGCGAGGTGCCAAGCTGAGTGAGTATCTGTTGGAGAAGTCACGAGTGGTGCAACAAGATACTGGCGAGAGGAATTTTCATATCTTCTACTACATGTTTGCTGGACTGTCTTTAGAGCAAAAGGAGATGTATGGATTATTGGATCCTTCACTCTACAGGTACTTCAAAGTCAGATCTTAATTTCGTCTTCATGATGGGGGGCGAAGGGGGAAGTAGTGAAATGGAGCCTACAGTTCTGCCAGTGGGGGTGGAGCCTGGTACAGGTAAATAAACTAATGGAAGCTGAAGTGGAGTCTGAATGGGTGTAAATGAAGAGATCTTACAAATCGTCATGAAAGCCGGTAGATCTGGATCTCTTCTGTGTTGCATTACCTTAGAAAAGATTTTTATTTCTGTTG